AACTGGACCTATAAGGAGCATCATGATAAATGGAAAAAAGATTGAAGTTGCCAAAGACTTCACATTGCTTGGTTCTACAATCAATGCAAATGGAAACAGCAGTCAGGACATCAGACAATGTATAGCACTGGACAAATCAGCTGTAAAGGACCTCTTTCAAGTGCTGAGGAGCAAAGATGTCTCCTTGAGGACTAAGGTGCACCTGACACAAGCCATGGTATTTTCAGTCCCTTCATATGCATGTGAGAGTTGCATGGTGAATGAGGAAGACCAAAGAAGAATTGATGCTTTGAGCTGTGGTGTTAGTGAAGAATGCTGATAGTACCGTGGACTGCTAAAAGAATTGAAAAATCTGTCCTGGAGGAAGTATAGCTGGAATGCTCCTTGGAGGTGAAAATGGCCAGATTTCATCTCACCTGCTTTGGTGATGTTGTCAGAAGGGATCATTCTCTGAAAAAGGATGTCATGCTTGGTAAGGTGGAGGGTTGATGAAAGAGGGGAAGGTCCTCAACAAGATGGACTGACACGGTGGCAGGAGTGATGGGCTTAAGTATAGCAAGAATCATGGAGCTGGCACAGGACCAGGCGGTGTTTTGTTTTGCTGTGCGTAGGGTCCTTATGACTCCTTAGCACCTAACAACAACAACACCCTGTGTCAGGAGGACCACTAGTGGCACAAATGGTTAGGTTCTTGGTTGCTAAGGTCAGCAGTTCCAAACTACCCAGCAGCCTCACAGGAGAAAGATCTAGTGATCTCTTTGCTTAAAGATTACAGCCTAGAAAACCTTATGGAGCAGTTCTACTCCATCACATGGCATCACTATGATTTGAAATTGACTCCATGGTATCCAACAGCAGTAACCCTGTGTCAGGTGGTGTCTAAGAACCAAAAATAAAAATGTGAATACAGAATAGATTTTACTTTGGAGGATCTTATAACCAGTGATAGTGACAGATTAGACAGGCAATTTCAGTATAATGTGATGTACTCTTGGATACAGAAGTGTCCTATCTCTGGTAAGACATGACTTTCTGATGGATGATTTCTAAGTTGAAACTTAAAAACTGAGTGGGATTTGGCCAGATCAAAGGAGTGAAGGGCGATTCCCAAGCCACAGTTGATGGCAAACATTTGATAAAGGAAAAAAATAAAATAAAATTAATATTTCTGCTTTACCCAAACCTTATTATCATGTTCTTAAATTGTACGGAGAAGACAACACAGTTAGAGGTATTATCACCAGAAAACTGGCATAATCCAGCATTGAACAGTATTAGTAAGAATTCAATATCATTATAAAAGTGACTAATATTGAAATCAAGGCAATGGCAATAATGATACCAACCAAATATCATGGAAAAGTAAATAGCATATAGAACCTTGTCTGCCCATAAGTTAGGTTGCTTCTGTACATTGGTTCATTTATTATTCATCTTAGTATGGAACACAGTTCACTGGATAAAGGCATGGAAGATTTCTTTAATAACTCTCAATACTAATTTAATTCTACTTAAACACACATATTCTAGTGAATGCCACATGCTTTTCAGCATGATTTTATGTGTAAATCAGTATAATATGTTTTCAGTTCATTAAGTAAAAGGAAGCATGAACTAAAACCTATTTAATCAATGAGGTATCACCTTTAAACTACCACAAGGTCATAAAAAAGATAATTTCAAAGCTATAAGTTTCCTAATTGTAATCAACAACAATCTAATGATGAAAGAAAGCATGTCCTAATGGCTGTAATAAACTTGAGCAAATCACTGTCTCTTTTTAAAGACATTTTGCTCCCTCTTTTGGTAAAGTGCTATCTCCCAAACTCTAGATTTCAGAGCACATAAAGTGAATGAGTGCATTGGCTCCAGAGGGTGTGGGCCTGAGTAGCCATATGATAATGACATGGATAAGTTCACATAGTGCAGATGAAGAAAGCCTCAGTTAGCAGCTTACTTCAGTTCTGATATAAATCAGATAAGATTTTAGCTTCTTTCTATTTGCATAATATTAATCTTTCTATTAACAGACATATTCACAGTATATATTGATTTAGCCATAGGAATTCACTGCTTTTGAACTGTGTCTGTGTGTCTATTGGTATCTATCTACCTACCTACCTACCTACCTACCTATGTATCCAAATCTAACCAGTTGGCAAGGAGCACATTCTGACTCACAGCAATCACATGTGTGTCACAATAGAATGGAGAGCTCCACAGGTTTTTGATGGCTGATTTTTCAGTAGATCACCCGACCTTTCTTCTGAGGCACTGCCGGGTAGACTCAAACCACCAATCTTATAAACTTTCAGTTAGCAGCTGAGCATGTTAACAATTTGCACCTCCCAGGAACCAACTAATTAACTCTCTCTCTCTCTCTCTCTCTCTCTCTCTCTCTCTCTCGTTGTTGTTAGGTGCCGTTGAATCATCTCCAACTCACAGCAATCCTATGCACAGCAGAATGAAACACTGTATGGTCCTGTGCCAGCTGCATGATCCTTACTATACCTGAGTCCTTCATTGTAGTCACTGTGTCAATCCATCTCGTTCAGGGCTTTCCCCTCTTTTGTTGACCCTCCACTTTACCGAGCATGATATCCTTCTCTAGGGAATGGCCCCTTCTTACAACATGACAAAGTAAGTGAGATGAAGTGTGGCCATTCTTGCTTCCAAGGAGCATGCTGGCTGCATTTTTCCCGGATGGATTTGTTTAGTTCTTTTAGCAGTCCATGGTACTTTGAGCATTCTTCTTCAACACCACTACTCTCTCTTTCTACATATATATATATTTCTACACACACACACATATATATATATATATATACATCTTTACGGCGAAAATTGCCCCATCTTCCTTCTGTAGAGTGGCTGGTGGGTTTGAACCACTAACCTTCTGGTTAGTAGTCCAGTGACTTAGGCACTGCACCACCATATATATGTATATATATATACACACACACATATATATATAAGCACATATATGTATTTATATAAAAATACATATATACTCTGTATATATGTATACAAATTATTCAAACATACTTTCTTAAACATGTGTGCAATGATTAAATTGGTTCTCTTTTATGGATTCTATGCAAATCACAAACCATTTACTTCAGTATAAATGTCATAAAATTATTATATAATTCATAGAATATTTCATGTATCTATTAAGAGAGTATTACTCTGTAGCTTAAAATGTCTGTTAAAGTACTAAATACTGTTCGGTTTCTGAATGTGAGCATAGAGTAGTATATACAAACATTTAGAGTCATCAAAATTGTCTATCCTTTCTAGCATTCAGCATTTGGACTAGAGTGAAAATGAAGATATAAATACTCAAAATTTTGAGTTTTTTTTGTTGTTTATCTCAATTTTAAAGTACTTACTAAATTCAATTCCATTTTTTTTTATTGGTTCATGATATATGATACTACCTGAGTTAATCAGCTCCAAAGTCTCATTCAAGCATTCTTTTCTTAAACATTGTGACTCCTGCTATTAGGGTTTCAAGTGTTTCAGCAACCATCGATTCATTAATTCTCATAATGTCATAAAAGTAGATAACAGTGAATTGATTTTATAATATTATCAATAGCAAATATTTTCTGAGTGGGGGGTAACGTTCCCTATAAACTGAACAGTAACCCTTATTTTCCTCTAGTGTTGCACTTAAATTCTTTGTGCCTGGAGGCTCTGCAGACTGCTGTGAACAATGGTGACATTCTCCTTAGTCCAAAACTCCCTGGTTACAGAATCTGGGACACAGGGCAAACACCTCCTCCAGTATTTCAGACAACATACATTCCTAAACACTCAATGGAGAATCAGGCTCTTATTATTTAAGGCATGCTTTGTATTCAAGGGCCTCATCAACCTGAGAAGGAATTTTCTCTATAGTAATTACTTCCCACAAATAATTAAACAAGGGGGTGGTTGACTGCATATCAAAATAATAGTAATTTGAATCCATTGTCATTTTCTTCATGCTGTTGTTGTTATGTGCTGTGGAGTTGGACCTGACTCATAGTGACCCCTCCTTGGGTTTCCGAGGCAGTATCACTACGGAAGTAGATTGTCCCATCTTCCTTCCAAGGAGTGGCTAGTGGATTTGAACCACCAGCCTTCTGGTTAGCAGTCAAGTACCTTAGGCACTACACTACCGGAACTCCCCATTTTCTTCATAGAAATACTTAAAAGAAAAAATAACCAGACTGTATCAGATTTCACATATAACAGTGCTATTGTTGAAATAGGAGCTCTGGTGGCATAGTGCCTAAGGCATGTGACTGCTAACCAGAAGGCTGGAGGTTCAAATCCACCAGCCGTTCCTTGGAGGGAAGGTTGGGCAATCTACTTCCATAGAGATAATGTCTCAGAAACCCAAGGAGGGGTTGCTATGTGTCAGATCTGACTCCACGACAGTGAGTTTGTTTTCTTGTTTTGTTTTGTTTTATTGTTGAACTCTAATCATGAATACATGTAATTTAAGGCTGTTTTTCTAATGTGAATACAATTTGGTTATTTTATGTATCATCTGCCCACTGCCCTTTTTGCCAAGTGAGAAAGCTTACATGTACATCTAAGCTAGTTCTTAAACAAATGAGGAATGAGAACCATTGCAGTTGAAAACTAAAGCTAAAATTGGAAATATGAATTTTTGAATCTAATTGATGTTTCAAAAAGCATTTTCCTATCTTCATAACCTGCAAAATGTAAGATATTTATACATATCTGTATATAAACATACACTAATAGAGAAACAATATAATATGATTGTATTCTCAGTAAAACAATAAAAGATTATCAATACAAGGATTTTGATAAAAGAGTTTCGATAAAACATATAGCAATAAAAAAATAATCAGAAATAAAATTGAGCCTCCAAGCTGTAAAAAGAACAAAAATATTCTAACCGTAAACAAGGGTGTTCATTAGAGGTTCAGTCCTAAGGCATTTATATAAAATTAGAGAGACAATATATTTCATAGGCTTACCTCCTGGAGGCATTGCAATCATTATAGGATCACTTATCAAGCTGCCTTGGCTATTTGATACATTCACTTGTACAGTATAGTTAGTATAAGGAATCAGTCCATCGATGAGCACCCAAAGGTTGGTCTTTTCACTGCTGTGCATAATTTGTGTGCCATTCAAAAGGGTATAGTTATTACCTGCTAATTAAAAAAAAGGGAGGTTATTAAAATTAGTGTTTATTAAGGATCCTTTCTTGCTATTGTTTGACTATTTTCTGGGCTTTCAGAATATAACATACTAAGGAGAACTATGAGCTCTGTTGGTGTAGTGCCTAAGGCATTTGACTGCTAACCAGAGGGTTGATGGTTCAAACCAGCCAGCCACTCTGAGGAAGGAAGACTAGGCAATCTACTTCTGCAAAGATTAGCTGCCTGAGAAACCTAATGGGGGTCTCTATGAGTCAGAATCTACTCTATGGCAGAGAATTTGGTTTGGTTTGGTAAGGAGAAACTATAAATCACCACACTAACAGATATTAGTTGGAATCGATTAAGTGGAATTGGGTTTGGTTTGGAAGAAGTATTACAGATTGCCCATCAAGTTGCATACTTTTATTTCACTATTTTGTGAGCAAAATGTTTATTGGGCTAAAACTACATTCTCCAATTCATTAGTCATTGTAGTGAATAAAACTGGGCTAATAGTCTAAGGTACGAAACCATATTACAAGTGCCATGCATGTATCGTGAGTAAAAATGGCAATTTACGCTGATTTAAATTGATCATTTGAAGAGATATTCTTAATTTGGGGGCACGTTTTATCTTTGAATTTTCTTTACAGTGAACGCTGCAGGAAATAACACTTTTTTCTCCAATAATTGCTTCTAGATATAAATAGTATAACTGAGTATGTGTTAGATATTTCATATGCCATCAATTGGAGTCTTTCCTGCTCATTTTGTTTGAGAGGTGAGTTCTTTATTTCTAAAGTCCCTTTTACTCAGAATTGTTCAGAGTATCTGAAAAGCAGCTAAGGACGGGAGGTAATATGTGCCCACACTCATCAACAGCTCTGTTCATTAGCTCCATGGAAAAATGCAAGAGTTGCCTGACTGTGTAAAAGTATCATATTCAATGTATCCCATCACCACCCCTCCAAAACTTCAGCAAACCCACACTCAGATTTCAGAATGGCTCAGATATATGAAAATACTGCTGCTGCCTGATCACAGTGTTTTATATCCCTGTCCTACAGCACAGGGTTCTGTTTAAGATTAAAAAGAAGTAGGAATTAAGGTTAAAAAAGAAAGAGCTATGACTGAAAATTGTATCATAATACTTACATTATTTTATATGTTAGATGCATGATTGAAAAATTTACATGAGACTTCGTTTTCCTCAGTAGTTCTTAATTTTAGTAAGATTTTGGTAATGTATTATAATTACTTTTAAAATGCAGAAAAAATAAACATTATGAACACCAATATTTATTTAAAATAGACTTCTGCCTTTGCCAGAATACATTTTATTGTATGTACATCTAAACTTCCTCACATGAATTCTGCAAAAATTGGCAAGCCAACTAAAAATACACATAATATGGGACTTCAGGAAGAAAAACAAGCATAATTGCAAGATCTCCGGATACTGATATAATATTTACTGATCAAATGTTTCAAAACTAAAAGATGACCATATACTGAAAATGATCTTGCATTGTATAATAAACAGTAGTTAGTAGTTATCAAATGAAAACAAAACTCACTACCTTTAAATTGATTCTGACTCATAGAGATCCCCATTGGGTTTCTGAGGCAGTAAATCTTTATGGAACTAGATTGCCCCATCTTCCTTCCAGGGAGCGGCGGGTGGGTTTGAACTGTCAACCGTCTGGTTATCAGGAAAATGCATTAGGCACTTCACCACCAGAGCTCCTTATTTAGTAGCTACAGTACTTACAAAAATAATGTATTTTGATGCAGTTTAGCTGCAGTGTGTAGTGCAAGGGGAAGTATGTGAATTTGAGTCCTGCATTTGAACTTCTCCTTGCTATTTTTGGATGGCATCTCCTTTCTGAGTTACTGTTTCTGAGCTTTGGGATTCTCATCTGCAAACTGGGAATGATTATACAAACAATGTAATTTTAAGTGAAATCATTTATTTACAAGACCGTTCAAAGCGAGCAGCTAGGAATGCTGCTACTATTTTTATTGTAATTCATAAAACTGATATGCTCTAGACAAATGTCTAGGCATGTTCTTGCTATGTGCCATGGCAAGTGTTTCAGAATTAGGTAGCCTTTTCTTCACTTTGTCAGTAGCAACTATATATCTCTTACATTCTCCCTCACCCCACAAAAGAAAAATGCATTATTAATCAAAAGTCTAAAGTTTTTTTCAGGAGAAAAACACTAACCCATGCTTTACCATCAGCCTATTGTCCCAGCAGGTTATACCTCAAACTCTGAAGTTAATAAAGATCTAATAATAGGAAAAAAAATGCTGATATCTAGTATGACATGATCATTTTAATGAAACATGGATCAGGCAGATAAAGACCTTAAAAATACACATTTCTTAGTCTTCTTTTTTTAATATATAAAACAGTTTTGGGGTGAAGGAAGTAGCTGAAAATGTATTGCTGCAAAATACATAGGTATGTTTCCTGTATTAGGAAACAAAATCCCTATTGTTATAAAAGAATTTATTACTTTGGGCTTGGAACTGACCTTAAGAAACTTCACATCTAAAGGAGTTGTTATTCAGAGAGGAACTTATGGGAATAAATGGTACTTATAGGCTAAACAAGAAGAAAGATAATTTCTATTTCTTTTTTAGTAAAACCAAATAAAGACATACTCACAGCATAATGAATGCTTTCAAGATCCTAAGGTGGAAGTAGACAATGCATTGCTACATGTTAACACCTATTAGCAAGAAGACTGGGACCCACAAAGCAGCTTTTGATAACTTCATTTCGCATCAAAAAGATATTTTCAAATTATGGAAATATTAGCTCTTATATACTCTTAACAATTTGATTCAATCAGAGATTATTGAGTTCCAGTGAGGACACATTGCTATGGCTTGATGACAATACATCCAAAATAAGACATATAGTTTCTGCACTCAAGAAACCTGGATAAGATTACATATGAGTGCCTTCAAACCATAGTATAAAAATAATTTTATTATCAGTATCTGAAGACTTCCTCAAGTTCCCATGATGTCTAGCTCCCTGGAGCATTTTCAATTCTAGCTGAAACAACAGCTATGATTGTCACATGTCCAGTTGTAAAATTTCAAAGGAAAATCAGCTTATCCTGTAGAGAACTAGGCAGAAGCTCAATTAATAAATTTTAAGAGTAGTATAAAGGGGCACATCTTATAAAAAGCAGGAAACTAGAAAAGAAGAAGAATGCAAATTCTAAAAATTAAGCCACAAAATGTGATTTTACAAATTTCAAATCAAGTGCAAATGTAAGATCAACAAACACCTATGACTATAATATTGGTGAGATTTCTATTCTCGTATTGTGTGTGTTTGTTTTTGAGGCAAATTTCAGCTGTAAAACACTATTGGTAGCTTTGAAAATGGCATGGCAGGAGGAAATATATTAAGTACCACTTTATTCTAAGTTTCCCAGATAACAACATTAATACATGGTAATTATACAATTAGTTGTAACATTAAGTTCTAGTTATAGAACAATGATTACTCAGTAATTATAAGAAGTATGTAATTACTCAATAATTATGAGAAGTATGCAATTACATAACCATTTTGTTCAGTTTGAAAAAGAACTTGTACATCTCTAAGAGCCATGCAGCCAACTGAGTCTAATGCTCTCTCACCCTCACTAACACAGTTGAGTTCACAGACCTAGGGCAACTGACAGCATTTCAAACCTCAGGGAAGCTCAGAAATTTCCAGATTCAAAACCAAAGCAGGATTCACAGATTTCTGCTCTTCCCCTCACTCCATTCTCCCTTTTTCTTTTGAAATTTACCAATTTGGACTCTTAGATAGTCAAGATTGTTTCTTAAAATGCAAGTCCTCCGATTTCCCCCTCTTGAGAGGGTTGTGCTTTACCCTGCATAGACTTTGTTTTCACTGGGCTGGAAAATGCAGCTCCATTGGTTCAGCCTCAAGAATCAAGCTAGAAAATGCTAAACCGATAAGCATTTCCTATCACAGGTGGCCATTCCTGTCTGGTCAGCCTCAGCTCTGACTCTATTTGTGAGTATAAGTGGATGGTGTCATCCCTTTTAAATGTTTCTCTTCTAAACACCTAGCCTTTTCCCACCCACGGACTGTGAATTTTAAGCTAGATTCCTCTCAGACACCATTTGGCTATGGTCTGAGCATTTGGGCCTTAACTAGGGGTTGCACTGGACTCTGCAGAATGGGGTTGTCTATACCTGTGCTCAAATAAAAATCAACTTGAGTTACTTCATAAAGATTTACATAGCCTAGTTCCACCCTGGACCTATTGATTGAAAAATACCAGGAGGTAGGACCCAGAAATAGCTGGATGATATTTCTTAAGATGCTGGAATTAGAGAAAAATTGATTTGAGAATTTTTATTTCATGTTCAGGCTGGACTTAAAGTAATGATCAAATTTTTTTTCCTCTGCTTCCAAAAATAATTAGATCACTTCTGGCACCCTTATTAATGAGGTCCTTAGACTCTAGCTTTAGGCTATAATATGTTGACTCTATAAGTGACTTGCTTCATCTACAGAAACTGTAGAGCTAACATTTAAACCAGCTCAATTTACAGGAAACACAAAATCTAGTGCAGATGTTCTATAAGAAAATTTAAAATAGATAATAAAATAATTTTTTAAATGAGTAATCATTATTGAAGGCCTGAGGAAAAAAATTTCAGGATATTCTGACTGAAATATTAATTTCTCTGTCTCCATTTTTCTTTCTTTCTTTTTTTTCTCTCTCCACTGAGGACTCAGGTGTAGGATTCTTTGTACCTTCACCAACTTTCCAAGGAAAAACAAGTTTTGTAATAGATCAATGCACATTTGAAAATATAAAATTTTCAAACTAGATAATATATATATATAATTATGTTATATATTTATATAAACACATATATAAATACATATATTTAATATATATATAAACTATATTTCAAAACTATAGAAAATATACAATTGCTGTTTTAGGATTTTCCACATTCTA